CTGAAGCATGAAAGTACCTCACGTTGGTTCACATTGGGGGCACCTGCTGGCGCTGCCCTTGCCTAGGCTGGCCCCAGGCCCTGATGATCTGTCTGCACCCTCGGGGCTCCTGGCATCCCACATGTGGTCTCCAGTGAATGGAAACACTGAGGGGCCTGCTGGGGCCGTACTAATGCCAGGGCCACACCAATGCCAGGAGCCTGATGGCACCGGCCTGGGCGCATCACAGGGAGAGATGCCTAAGCCATGTCGCACCCCCGCCCAGAAACTGACAGGCTCCTGTGAGAGAAACGGCCCCCTGCTGAGAGCAGCGATGTTCCTCCCCTACAAGGACATGGCTTTCCCATGGGACAGCACATGGAGGTCCCCAGATCCCACACTGTGAAGGCATCGGTGGCCAGGGCAGCTGCCTGATGGAGGATGGCCAGCCTGTGCACAGAAAGAAGACCCTTGGCGGTCACTCCTGCCCAGACCCACACCCCCACAGGTCTGGACCCCTGCATTGCGGCCTCAGGTCCTCCTCTGTGAGGCTGAGATAGAAACGTGTCCACCACTGCCCCGTAAAGATTCAGCACATGGCAACCGCATCTCTGGCGACGGTTGTAACGAGGATGACGACCCAGGCCTGTGGCGCTGCGTCTGCATCCCTTTCTCCATCCCCGCCACACTCCGCTTCTGGGTTTGTACCCTCTGCTCCCCAAAGACAGGCCCCGCACCCCTCCTACCTGGCTCAGGCTGTGCCCTCATCCCACATGCCCCTTCCTGGCTTCCTTCCTCCTCCTCAAGGCTCAGCCAAACCCCACATCCCCTCTAGGTCTCCCTGGTTCTCCCACTTGCAAGGCTTGACTGCCCCAGAAAAGCCCTCTCGGTGACAGCTGCAGTGACAGGGAGAAGCCTTGGGGATGTGGAGAGCGGGGGGAAGAGGCCCACCTTCCTCCATCAGCCATGTCGCCTCTCAGAGCAGAGCTCCAGGACGGCCAGGGTCAGAGGAGGGGTTGCGGGGCAGGGGACCCGGCAGTGTGGGTTTTCAGGTGACCCGGCTCATCTCACGGAGGGGCTCTACCTGGGACCTCGGTGCCTGCTCCCAAGAGCAAGGCCACCCTCAGACGAGAAAGAGCACAGAGCAGTGATGGCTGAGGGGCCAGAGTCAGAGCCATCCCTCCACCATGGGGCCTGCTTCCCAAGCAGCCCCAGCCACCATGGGCCCCGAGATCTGCTGGGGGCAGCCCAGTGGCCCAGCAGGAGCATCCACCGCAGCCCAGTGGCCCAGCAGGAATATCCACCGCAGCCCAGTGGCCCAGCAGGAGCGTCCACCGCTGGGGTCAGCCCCAGCTGCGAACACAACACGCCATGGCCCGGGTGCCTGCGGGCCTTGTTGACCTCAACAACAAGGTCGAGGGCAGCCCAATTGGGTTCCTGTTCCTGGTGTGGGCTCCCTCTTTGGGCCCCTCGGCACTGTGTCCCTTGTGTAGCAGTGAGAGGGAGGGGGCGCCTCCCTCTCGCCTCTTTCCTAACAGCCTGACCCCAGTATAAGGGCCCCTTTATGATCTTGTCACCTCCAAATACCATCACCCTGGGGCTAGGTCATTTGAATGCGGGGGACACAGTTCAGGCCTGGCACCCACTCATGGTGAATTTCCCACTGTGCACCTGTTCTCTCTCCCTGGCAGTTGGTGGAGACGAGTGAAGCCCAGGAGGCGGGCCTGCCCTTTGCCCAGGCACCTGGCACACGTGGGCACCCAGGGTGTCCTCCTGACCTGGTGAACTACCAGCCCTTGGTGGCACGCACTCGCGTCACACCCTTCCCTATCCTGGCCCTTGAACCTGACTGGACCCCCTTGGTCTACAGCCCCTGGACCACGTCTCCACATTCGAGTCTCCCAGTGGCCACGCCTGGAAGATACCACGGAGGTGTTCCTGCTTCGCCAATGAATATTCCACAGCAACAAAGAGACCTCTCCCCAGACCACCGCTCCTGAGGCCACGCTCACACGGGCGGCGGGAGAGAGACCGTGGCAAACACCCACAGGAGCCCAACTCTCCTTAATCACTTCATTATTGGCTTTGAGGACACGTCCCTGCAAGGAATCTGCTGCTCGAAAATGCAGATATTATGAGCCCCAAGCCCCCAAGAGGTGCAACCGACATTAAAGAGCATTATGTCAGTTCCAGGGAGGGACACATTCAAAAACGAGGTTTAATTTGTCTATGTATAAAATGCCAGACTTTAAGAAACACCTAGGGCCAACAGCAAATTAGTGTGTGCTGAGGAAAAGCAGACGATGATTTGCCGGCTCCCAGCAAATTGAACATAAGCTCCAGTTATAATGCAGCCACGGAGAGCGAAGACGCAATAATGACTAGATTGGGATGTGGCGACGGTGGCACTGAATAAGAATGAATTGGCACAGGCCCGGCTCGCTATCCATCTGGGAGTCCCCATCACCTTTCCCGTTCCTTGGAGGGTGTGCTGATCTTGGTGAGGTACAGAATCTAAAGGAAACAGGGGAGGGAAACAGACCACACCCTCCTCGGACTGGGGCCTCCGCCTGAGCGGGCTCCGTGGCTCCATTCTGTCTCCACCTACTTGTCTCGTGGGAAAGGTCACACCTGCCCCGGCCTAGACATATCCTCCAGCTGTGTCCTCACTGTGACCTCAAGGGATGGGGGTCCTGGGACCCATCTGCAGGGGACACTTCCTTCCAGTGGATTCTAGGAGAGCTGACCTCGGAGAGGGAGCTTTAGGCATGGCCAGAGCCCTCCCTGAACAATGATCGCCCATCACTGCCTGCTAAGGGCAGGTCAGGAAGGGGTGCTGTGGGGGTTGGACCTCTGCCGAGAGTCTGGAGGTGCCCCCCATCTACGAGTGGCTGTGGTGCTCGGCGGCCCGTGGCCTGGCATCTTCAGGGAGCCTGAGCTGCCAGGTTTCAGTGGAGAGCTTACAATGCCTGGGCGAGACGACGCTCCCACTCAGCCTCCTGCAAGGAGCCGCCGTGGTGACCGAAGATCTCACCACCAGCTGGGATTGGTGTCCTAGGGCGGCCAGAACAGAACGCCACAGCTGCGCCCCTGTCAGCCCTGTCCTCAGCATTGCTCAGGGCAGACACTCATGTCCTCCTCACAGCCCTGAAGGCCGGGAATCCAGCGTCAGGGCGTGGGTAGAGCTGCTTCCTTCCGGAGCCGCCCTCCTCAGCCTGTGGACGCTGTCTTCTCTCTGTGTCCTCACGGGGTGGCCCGTCTGTGCCTGTCCGTGTTCTCATCTCTCCCTGTAAGGACGCCAGTTATACTGGATCAGGGCCCCGCCCTTCTGACCCCATTTAACCTCAGTTACCTCTTTAAAGCCTCTGTCTCCAAGTATGGCCACATTCTGAGGAGCTGGGGTTAGGATGTCAACATACCAATTTGGGGGAGACACAGTTCAGACCCTAGCACAGCTCTGATGCCGTTACTGCTGCTGGCCCTGAACCCCAGACCTGGGCACTCTGCCGGCTCCCTGTGGGCCTCCCAGTGGTGGGTGCCCCTGGTGACCACGCCAGGTCCGGCTGCAGCCCTCTTCTCCTTTGGGAGGGTTGACACTCATGAGTGCCATCTGCTTCTCCTCCCAGGACCAAGCCGGCGGGTCTGTGCCCCAGTGAGTGCATGAGGATGCCACTGTGGACAGCAGGGTGCCCGGGTCCGCACCCCCAGAGCCGGGCAGTGCCCACAAGGGAAGTGAGCATGGGGCCTCTGGGGCTGTGGAGGTTGGGCCCTGAGCAAGGCTGTGATCGGGTGGGACCCTGCCTAGGGGGGTGTCTCTGACAACAGCCTCAAGGGGACTCCACATCCCTGTCTGCCTCACTCCCACTCGGGTCTGACTGCAGTCACTGCCCCACCACACCTGTGCGGTACGTGCCTTGCAGACCAGAGCCCCCTGGGGACCTGAATCCCCTGCTGCCCCAGCGCCTCTTCGGGACACACCCTGCTTTCCTTTCACAAATCAAAGGTCTTCCAACATAGGCCTGCCAAGAAGCATCTCTTCCAGATGAATACAGATGGCAGAGGCTGATTTAAATAAATCTATTAATTATCTGCAGCTTAGCACGCGTGCGTATGCGTGTAAGTTGCAGCTCCTAAATCATGTAATTTCGGGAGCCTCTGCATCTACTACATTTAATTACTTCTCCCTGTGGTGCGCAGGACCCAGATGCAGCCACCACCTCACTGGGTCCCTGGAGCTTGGCGAACCCCAGAGGGGCTGCTCTGCAGGAGGGGCTGGCCACAGGGGGGTCTGGGGATGCAGGGCCGGTGAGCACGTGCTCTGAGGGGCCCACCTCTTCTCACAGTCCCCTGGGAGCCTCCCCAGGACAAATTCTTCTCCTCTGCCTGCGACGCGGTCTGTGCCATTGGTCTCTGGTGACATCACCTCCCATCCGTGGTCCAGGAGCTCGGTGACACCACCAATCCCTACTCTCCCCCTCCAGGAGTGGGTTCAGTGTTTAGGGTTTTAACCCGGTCCCTGGATCCCATGGTCACAAAGGACTCTGCCCACAGGAGATGACACTCCCAGGGAGGGAGCAAGGGCAAGAAGAGGGCCCTGGCTGGGGCAGGGGAGCAGGCGGCAGGGCCTCCACTCCTCACAAGCACCACCCCAGGCCAGGCACATCCCCTCCCAGGTCTGTGGGCTTGAAGCAGCTATTCCTTGAGAGATGGCTCGGCAGCCTCCGGCCAGCGTCCACAGCGCCCCCATCCCCACACCCCCATCTTGCCCGATGCCCTCGGGTCGGTCTCCTGGGCCAGCTTCCTGGGCTCCTGTCTCAGCGGCTTGGACGAGGTCCCTTCTTCCCTGGGCCTTGCTGATGTCAGGGTCACCTGGCTGCAGGACGCCACAGACCACGGGGTGCCTATGGCATGGGGGGTGTACCCCAGGCCGCTTCCAGGAGCTTCTCAGTGTTTAGTGGGTTTGGGGTTTTTTTGGTTGCTTTTGCCTTGTGTCCCTCTCTCCCTTTTCCCATAAAGATCCGCACTTCTGAAGACACAGAGAAGCTTGAACACCTATGTTGTGAGAGTGAGAGGCAGGAATGAGCTGGGAGCTCGTGTCCTCCATCAGGGAGCAGCCGCCCTCCCCAGAAACCCCTTTCAGGACACAGTCTGAACACCAGGGCTGAGCTCCACTTGCTCTGCTGGCGAGACAAGGGATTGCTCTGAGAGGGAAAGGGATGAGGGAGGAGAATGTCCAGGCGCCTGGGAAGCTGGCCATGCCGCTTAGAAAGAGCCCTGAGCCCACCGCCAGCCCCACGCCACCAGCCAGTATCCTTTCATTCCTTCATTCCTTCATCCATCCTCCCTCCCTTCACTCGGCATCCACAGAGCCCCTTGTGCCAGGCCCTGGGCTGGTTGCTAAGAGACAGCAGTGGGTGGGGCAGGGACAGGTGTCCAGGACTGGGTGGCCGTGTAGTGGGAGTCGTCTGACCTCCTGCTGCCATGACAGCCGCTGGAACAGCCTTCTCTTACCTCTACCATCAGAGATCTCAGATCCCCGGGTGCAGGGGCTACCTTGCCACCCTGGGCCCCTGCCCAGAGACCCCGAGAACACAGCTTGGAGAGGCTTGTGGGACCTCCTCTCAGGACCACTATGGGGAGAGCAAGCACCTGACCACTGTCACTGCAGATACTCCTGTAAGCTCTGACACTCGGCGAAAGAGAGACCCACATCTCTATAAAAACCATCGGGCTCATGAGAGGACTGTAGGTCTGCAGAGAATCTTAGCGTTTCATATTTTTTAAATTATATTCCAGACACCCGGGAAATTTTGAAATAATAATAATTTGGAGGTCTAATCTGTTAAAACAATAGCTTTTAATATTCATTTGTTACTGGCAATAAATGGCTGTAATAACTTGATGATGAAGCCGCTGTGACCTTCACTGAACCTCAGCAATCTCATTTGCATTCTCATTAAAATGACAGTTTCAGTCTCATTCTTTGAAATCCGTAATACCCTCCTTTCCAGAATTTCCAAAGCCTCCCTAAAGAGTAATTAACTCATGTGATTAAAAATGTAATATGTTGGGAACATTTTTTACTTTATGAAGGTACCAGGTTAAAAGTTTTAATATGCACTGTATTAATCATAAATCATTTTGATTGCTAAAAAACCCTTACAGAAAGAGAAGTAAATGGGAAAGCTTCATTGTCAATGTTGGATTATGATAATTTCTTTCCTATCCTAATTTTTATTAATGGAAAAAAAAAACGACAGACTAAACTAGCCCGCCAAACTTCTGCACCTTCAAAGCTGGCAGTCCAGACACCCGGGAGCATTTCCCTGGGGACGCTTTTGCCGGGAGCCCTTTCAGAAAGTCTCCAGCCTCTTCCTCCCAACCCTTCAAAGGCTCTCCACAGCCTGATCTCTTCCCTGAGCCCGGGTGGGAGCTGAGCTCTTCTGAGCAGCCGCCCGAGGACCTGGGTTCTGGGAGCAGGAGCAAGATGAAAAGGGAGCCTGTGGTTTGTACCTCATTTGTCCCTTTGGGGGAATTTCCGTACCCTCTTTGATGCTCCCATTCAGTGACCTGGACAAATGCATGTCCACGCTTGGCCAGGATGGAGGCCAAGAGCTGGGTAGGTGGACAGTGATCACTTACTGAGCATTAAACATCCTCCATCGTCAAGTTCTCGGTTGGATTCCAGGGGCCTTGACAAGCCCTCCCAGCAAAAAGAGGCCACAGGCTGAACGGAGGAGGGCCTGGGCATGTCAGGGCTGCGCCCCAAGTCAGGCAGACAGGGAAGGCACCACTGGCCTGGACAGAGAGCCCTGGGTGGCAGACAGGCCTACACCACGACGGGCATGGATGTACGCTCAGAGACACTGTAAGAACCTTCCAGAACGCGTCTGGGCCCCGGGTGGGGGACAGAGTTAAGGACAGTGGTGCCTGGTGATCTGTCCCCTCCCAGCCCTGCCCCAGGACTCATCCCTGGGATGCCTCCTCACCCTCTCCCACCATCCTGTCGCTGGCACAGATCTCCCCATGACCGCAGCCTCCTCCTGGGTGTCCAGTGCGTGCAACCAGGGAAGCCTGCATCCTGCTTCCCTCCCTCCATCCTATTCCCTCTGGCTCGGGTGCCTCCAGGCAGTCTGTCCTTCGTCAGGGTACCGGGAATGCAGCCGGGAACAGAGCTGAGACCGACCCGGGTCTGCGGGGGCACACGGAGGGCACAGGAACCACTGTCCATAGCACAAAGCCAGGGTATGGGGGCCTCCACGGAGACAGAGCGAGCCAGGCAGGAGAGGCACAGAGCGGGGGGCCTGTGGAGTCAAGGTGGTCCAGGAGGGCTCCCCTGAGGAGGTGGCATTTGGGCATCTGAGGGAAGCCGGGATCACACAAGTCAGGAGGATGTCTAGAGAGGAAGCTTCCAGACGAAGGCAACAGCAGGGCCGGAGCTGAGCCCGTGTGGGGCATGGCGGTGGGAGACGAGGGGCGGGCTCTTGGGGTGAAAGACACACGAATGAACGAATGAATGAGCAGTAGGCAGACCAACCTCTGCCTGTGACCTGGTGGATGGGAACGAGGCCCCTCTCAGATCAGCCCCAGGCCTGAGTCTCCGGGGTACTCCGCTGCCTGTGACCTGGTGGATGGGAACCAGCACCCCCTCAGATCAGCCCAGGCAGTCTCTGGGGTACTCAAAAGCTGCCACCTGTGACCTGGTGGATGGGAACCAACCCCCTCAGATCAGTCCCAGGCCTGGTCTCCGAGGTACTCGCTGCCTGTGACCTGGTGGATGGGAACCAGCACCTCAGATCAGCCCCAGGCCCAGATCTCCTGGGGGTACTCCGCTACCTGTGACCTGGTGGATGGGCAGGCCCCCACTCAGATCAGCCCCAGGCCGGGTCTCGGTGCTCCGCTGCCTGTGACCTGGTGGATGGGAACGACCCCCACTCAGATCAGTCCTGGGCTGAGTCTCGGGGTACTCCGCTGCCTGTGACCTGAGTGGATGGGAACCAGCACCCCCTCAGATCAGTCCCAGGCCTGAGTCTCGGGGTACTCGCTGCCCGTGACCTGGTGGATGGGAGCGAGGCCACACTCAGATCAGCCCCAGGCCTGAGTCTCCGGGTACTCCGCTGCCCGTGACCTGGTGGATGGGAACCAGCACCCCCTCAGATCAGCCCCAGGCCTGAGTCTCAGGGTACTCCAGCTGCCTGTGACCTGGTGGATGGGAACCAGCACCCCTCAGATCCAGCCCCAGGCCGAGGTCTCTGGGGTACTCCGCTGCCTGTGACCTGGTGGATGGGAACCAGCAGCACCCCCTCTCAGATCAGCCCCAGGCCGGAGTCTCTGAGTCTCCGGGGTACTCCGCTGCCCGTGACCTGGTGGATGGGAACCAGCACCCCCTCAGATCAGCCCCAGGCCGGAGTCTCCGGGGTATTCTGCAGGGAATGCAGGCAGGGCCATCACAACAGCGGGAAACCAGGGGCTCAGTGCCCAGGGCTGGCTCTGGGCCTCTTCCCTCGGGGTGAGCCTGGGAAGCCCCATGTAGGTGCAATCCCAGCTGCCCCTCCTCTTCCCTGGGAGCCTGGCCGGGCCCCTCGGCAGATGATAAATATTTATTTAAGGTTTTTCCAGTTGTCAGTGTGATAAACGGACCCTTGACAAAATCAATGAATCAAGTAAGCCAAGCTAATCTACAGGGACCCCTCCAGAGGGGGTCTCCCACCCTGCCCGCAATTCCGAGCCCCTCGACGGGGTTTCCAGATAATCGATCCATTTAGGCAGAGCTGGGCATGGGCGTGGGGTCTGCTGGGCTGTGAAGTCTCCGTGTCCTGACCCAGGGAGAGCAGGCTGCCCACCGCGTGGCCTGCAGGACCCCGAGAGAGGATGTACACGCTCATAAGGGCTTCCCACAGCAGGCAGCGCTGACAGTCAGCCAGCAGCTACATCAGCAGAGGGATTTGTTTCCTAAACAAGACCCCCTAAGAAGGTTTCCTGAGGGCTTCGGATCAACAGACTTCTGCCGCTGCCTCCAGGAAGCCCTCCTCCCTGCCCAGAGCCCGGCTCCTGGGTAGCAGCAGCCAGGCCCCAGGACACCAGCAAGCAAAGGCAGCTCGCCCAAGGCAGGCAGGTATGGATCCTTCTCCATGGCAGAAGAGCTAGGTGGGGTCCGCTGTGACTGGCGACTTCTTGGGAGGGGCTCTCTGGTGGTCCCCAGGAGCCCATCCAAGGCAGGCTCACAGTGCACAGGCTGCAGCCACACAGCTGCGGTGACAGAACACAGCAGAGGGAACACTGGAGGATGCTTCCTGCCGGGAGGACAGTCAGAGCAGGACGGCCACCGCGGGGCGTGGGGCCAGCACCACCTTCCCGCAGGGGCCCGCGCTCTCAGTCAGTTTTCCACGGGGCTCCCAACTCCCACCAGGGGCTCAGAGGCTATTCATTTGATCTCACTCCTCCGTTACCAACAGCGGCCACGCCCACACTTGCCACGGGAACGCTCAGGATGGCAGGTGGGTCCTGGGTCAGCCAGGGGAGCAGGTGGGGCAGAGGCGCAGCTCTCCTGAGAAGGGTCTTTCGGGAGGGGAGAGAAGGCAGCACTTGCCAGAGAGTCTCCTTGGCCCCCCGTCTCCCCTCCTGCACCTGCTTCCATCAGCGCCGCAGACCACGAGGGGGGTGGGCGCTAGAACCCTGCCCCCCTTAGGACCCCACGCACATCATCACAGACCCCTCAAGAAAACATTTGTGACAGACCCCAACGGGTCTATATTTAGAGCTGAACTTTAAGCCAAATATCAAGGAGCTCTGGAGCGGAATTCTTGATGGGCTCGGCCCCTTCGTGTGTGCCTGGAAAACCAGCGAGCCACCATCACCTGGTCCCATCCCGGGGGGCTCATGCAGCTCATGCAGTTCCTGCAAGCCTTTCACTGGTGGTGTCCTTGCCCAGGAGGTGAGAGAAGAGGATACGGGTCTGCTCTTGACATTGGGGCTGAGACGGGGCGGGTACCTGCCAAGGCCGTGCCAGGTGTCCGGGTCAGAGCTGAGCTGCCCAGCCCTCAGCTGGTGTTTTCCTCCAAGTTCAGAAGCACTGACCCGGGGGGCTCTCTGCCTTCCAGGGTGCTCCAGGCCCAGCCTTGTCCAGGCCAGGGTCAGGGGCCCTAGGAGCCCGGGCTGAGGGGTCTTCAGCATGGCTGTGCTGTCAGAGGCCACATTCATACTGTGCCTGCCTCCTGCTCACTGAGACACCACAGGGAGGGACCCCACCCTGTGCCCCAGAGGGGCGCGGAGGACTTTGCATGATGCTCCCCAGGGGTGCCCTCAGAGCAGCCCTGGCGGGGAGGGGACACCACAACAGCCCGTCTTATGATGCCCAAAGCAGGACCAGGAACCTCTGCCTCACCCCCAGGTAACACAGGAATGAAAGGGATCCACATGGTCCCAGGCATGACTCAGGCCTGAATCCTGGAGGCACCACTCTTTCCCAAGAACAAGAAGGTCAGAGAAAGCTTTTTGGAGCCCAGACACTCACAGATCAGAGTAGGGGGCCCTGGATCAGGATGCACCTTGTCCGGACTCCACACCCAGCCACTGTGTGGTTCCAGGCAAACTGCCTCACCTCTGAGCCACAGGTTCCAACCTGCGAAGCGACCTTGGGAGGATCCAGTGGCATCCAGTTTGGAAGCCAATGGAACCTGCTAGGAACTGTGGGATGAGGGTGGGGGGCCGGGGATATCTGCTTTGGTACAAGACACTCCTTCACACAATGCTGGCATTTCCCAGGGGCACCTGGCTCTGTGGGGGTCAAAGCCCTCACATCTGGTTCCATCCAGACATGACCTCTTAGCTTACTCCCAGGGAGGCATCCAGGGACCTGCTGAGCACCTCTGACCAGTCTGTGGGAAAGGTGCACGACAGGCCCACATGCCAGCCTGGAAGCCGTTACCCTCTCACTGCCCTCTCATGGCGCTCCTATCTGCACCTGCCCTCACCTGTGGCCTGCACTGACCCCGTTCTCCCAGACCTACACCTTATCCTGGTCAGGTGCGCCGTCTGCCCAGCTCCTGGAGCTGAGCACTCAACGCCTGGAGCCTTCTCTAGCTCTAGGCAGGCTGTGTGTGGAAACAGGGCAGGGCCACCTCGGGTGGACACAGAGAGGCTGCTACACCCACGCCCAGCATGCCCCAAAGTTCCCAGCTTCTGGTACAAGCCAGCTTTGCCACATTCAGGTCACTTAATGTTCTCAGTTACTGAAATACCCTGTGACTCGGTTTCTCTTTAAGAGAGGGATGTGACAGTACTTGGCAGGGTGGCCTCAGGGATGACTGCGTCACTGCAAGGAAATCATTCAGACCTCGCCTGGTGCAGAGCAAGCTGGCAATGAATGCCCAGGACCACAGGTCCAGTTCCCGAGGGTGTCTGGCACTGCTAGCAGGGGGCCTGGCCTTTTCATCCATCTCCGAACATAGTCCTCAGACCTGGGCAGGGGCCCATGCTTGTACTCAATGTGCACAGGTGCCACAGCTCTGACCACCACTCCAGGCCACACAGCAGTTGGTGTGGAAGATGAAGCCCAACCCGGCTCTGCCTGGTCCCGAAGCCCAAAGCCTGGCCCTGGCCCTGCCACACCATCTGGGGCAGTCATCTCCAAAAGCAGGACAGGCAGGACCACCGCAGTCTGACAGGAGCGGGTGGGCCCCTGGGAGGTACCTGCGCCTGCTTCTGCTGAGTCCCTGCATCCTGCTTGTTACTGCCATGGTGTCCCCTCCTCCAAACGCCACCACGCGAATACCATGAATACGATTTAAATTCAAATTAGAGCCACTTTCTGGAAGGCATGCAGAATCATTTGCTACACCAAAGTTCAGAAGAGCACGGATCTGGTGCTGGCCGCCAGCTGCCTGGTGGTAAATGGACTTCATGTCCCTGAAGCTCACAACGTTCCAGGCATTTATTGATGGTCCCCGTAATTCAAATGTGCTGATGAGCAGGTATCAGTATCAGGCCTGGGCTGAAAGCCCTCGGCGTCTACACACTGCAGACTACTTGGCAATTAACTTTTGGTGACTATATTTCTAAAGAGAATCAAAGCAGAGAAATGGGATCATGAATCCTGCCTTTGGCTGGAAGCTAGGCTCATTCCATTTGAGAAAGATGTGGTACATGTTTACTCTTCCTATTACTACTCAGGAGACAATTTATGATGAAACTGACTGTCATTTCATGCCAATGAATTCACATTTCATGTGGGAAAACTCTTCTTTAGATCAATTTGATCACTATTAAAGAACTTCTCCTTGGCCAAAAGGTTCTTCCAGCGTGGGTGTGAAGGCTTCTTGTAATATCATTCCCAGAAAGACGATGAGTTCAGTGAAACCAAATGACTTTAGTCCAGCAGCGGGCCAAGCATTTAATAAGCACCTGCTGTATGCCAGGTAGTACAGGGAACTGGATTGAAGGGGTCAGGAGATAAAAGACTTTGACTGTTAGGCAACTGTTGGGAAAACTCTCACGCATGCCCTCACCTGGGCTGATGCCGGGCTTGGCCATGTGGTCTGCTTGAGCCAGTGGGATTTTCGTGACCTGGAGGGGATGGCGGTGATGTGGTTCTGAGGCTGGGCCTGTCCCTGTGAAGTGCCGCCCTGAACCCAACCCACCACCTGGAGCCCAGCCTGCCGAGAGCAGCAAAGCTCCCCCTACTCCACTCCCCTGCCCTGGAGCCCGGAGCCTGGGGTCCAGTCTGACCCCACTGTAGCCGACCCACAGACCACGGTCAAAGCCACCACTGCTGACTCAGAGTCCCGAACACCACTGCGAGCCCTGAGTTTCTGGTTTGTTCCAGAGACAGGCACCCAATCTCGAAAAATATAGACTGGCTGGAAACCCAAGCTCCTGCTAAAGGGCATGGCAGGACAGGTCATCTCCATGGTCGGCGGGGCGAGGGAGCAGGAGGGCAGGGAGACAATGACCCAGAGAGGCGAGCAGCTTCGGAACTGCAGCCGCACACGGCATTTCCAGCCATCTTCCTCGCTATGCTCACTTAAGAGAAAGAGCAATTGCACTGGGTGTCAACACCCACATGTGTGCACAGAGACACTGGACAAAGCCCCACAGGGTCGGATCCCCATCAGGCACCCCCAGGCCTCCTGTACCTGAAGATGGGCCTGTGCACCTGTAGCACCAGCTGCCATGTTCACTGGGGTGGGGCCCAGGGTCACCTTCCCCACTCCCAGGACCTCCGAAGATGCAGGCAGAAAGAACACGTCGCAGAACAGGGCAGGGCCAGGGCCGGAGGGCAGGGTCAGGACTGGAGGGCGGTGCCGGGGCTGGAGGGCGGTGCTGGGGCCGGAGGGCAGGGCCAGGGCCGGAGGGCAGGGTCAGGACTGGAGGGCAGGGCCGGGACTGGAGGGTGGTGCCGGGCCTGGAGGGCGGTGCTGGGGCCGGAGGGCAGGGTCAGGACTGGAGGGCAGGGCCGGGACTCAGGGCAGGTTCTCAGTCAAGACCACCCTATTTCCACTCCGGTGCTGTCACCGGTTAGCCATGGGATGCTGGGCTCATTAGTTAACGGTGACATTTCCAACCTTCTCCACGTGTGAAATGCAGCAGCAGTCGTCACACTCAGAGTCCTCCGGAGAGAGACGGAGACGCTGAGGCCCATCCCAGAGCGTCGGACTCCACAGGTCTGAGTGGGGCCAGAGATGGGATTCCTAACACGCCCCCAAGGCTGTGCCAGGACCACTGGGACCCCACTCTGAGAGTCACTGGCTTACGAGGTTGCCATGAAATCAGATAATGTCCCTAAAGTGGCAAACCAAGGGCCACAACATAATGCAGCACCCGTGAATATGAGCGGCTCTCCCCATTACTGTCGCTATTGCACAGTGAAGAGTCTCCCGGCCGCTCCAGCTCTGGCCCAGCAACCATGACTGGTGCCCGTCTCCCCCCATCTCTTACCCAGTGCGAGGGCTCCAGGCTTGGGCTGACATGGCATCACAAAGGTGTCCCCACTTCCCCTCCTACAAAGGAATGGAAACACCTGGGGAAAGGCTGGATCCCAAGGGACCCCTGAAGTCCCAAGTGCTCCCCTGATTGTTCCAAAGCAACTCTCCCAGCCCCGTGAACAACTCAGGGACCCCCTCAATCCACAGCATGAGGCCCACCAGCAGAGAGAGGAGCTTCCGGTCCTGACTCCCACCAGGCGCAGAGGAGCCGAGGTGAGCTCCCAGGCCCGCCGGATTTTCCCGTAAGTGGTTCGGCTGAAAGACTCCCTCTGCCTTTTCATTTGAAAATATAGATACCATCAGACGTTTTGATCATTTCTATTTTTGTTTCTACACTTCAATTTTGGCAGTACTCTCTTGGGAGCTGGGGGGAAAACACATTTTTCTCTACCATTTTTAATCTTCTTTTATTTATCAAACTTAGCTCCTCTTTGGGTGGATTAAAACAGACTTGGACAGAGTCTGGAAAAACAAACTCTTTTAAAACAAGACAAAGATTGAGTCTGGCCAACTGGCTATTTTCAATCCTTGCTGAACGGAGTCAAGGCAGTTGGTAGTAACAGCTTGTGGCCATCCGCTGTCGTCCTTCCCGCACGAGAGGGTGGGGCCCCCTCAAAGTGACCAGAGCCGGTGACTTCGGGACTCAACCCTCCCGAAACAGCACATAGCCTAGTGAGTCTTTCCAGCACTGCAGAGGGGCATCTGAGTGTGGACCATGAGTGCTGGGCACCTGGAGGGATGGAGGTGAGCCCCCCATCCTGCGGACCCTCACAGATGGGAAGTAGGAGGAGGACTTGCCGGGCCACACCCTCCCACTCTCCGGATTTCCCCAAAGCTCGCTGGATACACGTCACTTGCTCAGCAGTTCACATCATCCGTATCTCTTGTCCCACAGCCATGGGCTACCCAGCAAGTTGAGAAAAACAGGGACGTCCACACACTCTGTTTGAGGAGGGAGCTCTTCTCAATGGGATTCTCTCCCCCACAAGCTCCAAGCGGATAGGGCAGTGTCCGATGGTCACTGAGGGACCTCCAAGGGCCATCCAGTGCTCAGCTCAGTGTGTCTGCTGAATTAATCAAGGACTTTGCAGTGGACTCAGGCCACCTTGCCCTGGGACAGGCAGGCACAAAATGAGGACTGACAATGCTGTCAGCGCACGCCGGGATGGGCGCCTCAGCTGCTGGGAATGCACTTGCAGTGAAGTGCTGACCAAGGAGTGGACTCTGCCCGCTGGCCACGTGCAGGCACAGTCCCCATGGGGAGGCACGCTTCTTCCAGGCTGAAGGGGAGCCCTCCGCCCGACTCAGGGAGCCCACCTGCTCCTCCAGGCTGCCCGCCCAGGCTGTGCCCATGATGGGGTGGGAGGGCCAGCTCCAAAACGGAGCATGCCCCTGGCTCTCCTCTCACCCAGTGACAGGCCTGGCCACCCAGAGCCTCAGGAGCAGCTCCGTTGGGTGGGACCTGCTTGAGGCTCACAGATCGCGGCACTCCCCTTCCCTAGGGTGGCAGAACCCAGCCAAGTTACAGCGAGCGGCACTCACACCTTCACCCACCCATTCACGTATTAATCTGCCCTGCCAGACTCCAGGGGCATCTGTTGACAAAGAGCCTCTAACTGGGACGGGCCATGGGGACGGTGTCCTGGGGTCTCTCAGGTGCCCAGGCGGCAACCTCTATGGGGCTCTAGGTAACCGCAGTTATTTCCCCTCCTCTCTCCTGCGCCCAAGGTACCTGCCCAGCCGTCTCCACACCTGAGAGCCCACGTGGTACTGGTCCCGCATTATTTCTGGGTGTCGGCCCTGTCTTCCCAGGAATAGCTAGGGTCCTGAAGACACAGGCAGCCCCAGAAGCCTCCACCTCTCCCAGTGCCAACACAGGATGTTCAATAACACCCAACCTAACTCCAAAGAGATTGTGAGCAGCAGCTGGGTTCAAAGTAATCACTGCATAACCCAGAAACATTCATTAAGCACCCACTGTGTGCTGAGCTATCCACTAGGCATTAGGAGATACAAGACACAGGGTTGCTGCCCTCATGGGCGTCTCACTCAGGTGAGGGAACAGCCAAATACTTGCAATCGCAACAGTGCCCTATGAGTGCCGTGGCCCGGGGCACATCCAGCCCCCACTGAGGCAGGGGCACCAGGAACACTGTGCCAAGGAATTCAGAGACCAGAGGCCTTAGGCCCAGTGGCAGCATGGCATGGTCTGGATGGCACACTTCAGTGAGCGGCGGAAAGACCGAAGCGACGGCGGAGCAAGAGGGAGGGAGAACGCTGTCTCCCACAAATACGGTCCAGTTTCTCCAAACCTGAAGGCTCGCTTAGAACCTCATGGTCCAGGAATCCATCCGGAGATGGTGGAAGTCATGGTGTCCATGAGAGTCCTTCTGTCTGCTGACTGAGCCACTGGCTGGCTGGACTGCTCCTGCCATGGAGCAAAGGAGAGGCAGCTGCTGTCCGCGGAAAAGCAGGTGCGCTCAGCATCCTTCCTTCACACCTTTAGGGCCTGGCGGCAGGAGGTGAGACGAGATGCAGAGTTCAGCCCCGAGTCTGGCTTACTTCAGGATCCCTCCCAGGGCTCTCTCACCTCAGAGGCAGTGTGGGACCCCAGGCCACACCTCGTTTGCAGGCCTCACCTAGATCGTGGTAACAGCCAGAACTCAACAATTCCTCCAAGTCAGCGTCCCCGTGGCCTGGAGTGGGGACTGAGACCCACACACACCCTCCTCCGCAGGCACGTAGGGACGCAGCAAATCCAGAGTGAGTGCATAGTGCACATCGGGCCTTAAGAAGGTGGGTGGAAACGCAAAGCACCTAGCCGGCTGTGCCGCTCTCTGCCCCTGGGAGGAAGCTGGCATGGTGCTGATGCGGTTAGCGCCATTGCACCCTCCTGGTGCTGCAGCTCATTTGAACAAAGCCCAGATTAGCATGTGGTGCAGAGGTCTGCATATTTCAACAAACTGCTGCCTTGTCAGATGTCACCTCGAGGGACGGGCTGATGGAGTCCCTGGCAAACCCAGGACTGGCCGTGGAGTGGGGACATAGCCTGAACTGCCCTGGGCTGGTGGCACTGGCTTGCCTTATGCGGCCTCCTCCCGTAGATGGGGCAGATAATACGGGGGAAGGATGCTCCCCAAGTCCACAGCTCTGCAGAGGGCCCAGACCCCACTCTGCCAGGGTGGTGGGCATCAGAGCTGGGTGGGGCTCTGTGAAGTCAGGGTCATGGAAATGGTATGTAAACCACGGGACCTGAAGAGAAGACGCCACCCCAGGGTGCACACCCCAGACACCACGACACACCCTGGCTGACAGCTCTGGCCAACGGAGCACTTGGGAGCCGGCAGTCTCTGCAGCCCAGCCTGCTGGTCCTGCTGAGCACCCAGGTGCCCATGGTGCTGACACGTGACCAAGGACAGACATCCACGGTGTGGGCCGCCTGGAGCCCCCCAGGTCGTGGGAGCCCCTCGGCTTATCGGAGACCAACTCCAGCCCGGAAAGCCCTCATTTGCTGAGGTTTTCTGGAGCCCCCATGCCTCTCCAGGTGGAGAATGAGGCTCAAACGGAGGGGAATCTTGGCAGCCCGGACGCACCGCCTGCAGGGAAGTTGCCTGCTGGCGCAGACACCCAGCCTGTCCAGAGCCTAACGGAATGCCACAGGCCCCAGAGATCCTCAGCCTGGAGCAGGCCTGGAGTCAGGGGCTCTGCCCAAGCAGGGACACCGTCCCCCAGAAAGGCAAGAACACAGCAGGCCAGAGGCGGGGAGGCCTCCAGTGAGGTCCAGCCATCTACACTGGAGCAAGGAAAATATCTCCTCTCCAGACCGGTCAGCGGCGGGCCCGGGGCGTCCTGCTCTGTCACAGGGGGAGGGTCCCATGAGCAGCAGCCAGGGTGCCCCCATAGGAGGCTGCCCCCACCCCGCCAAGCCCAGACCAGCAGGGAGGCTCTCCTTGGAGGCAAGGCCCCCACCTCCTGTTCTTCCTGGGTGACATTTCCTCCAGAGAGTGGCCGGAAAGGTCACCTCCCCTCCACTCAAGCCGGCTTCATTGCCGTGATTACACTTTATGATTCTTTTATGAAGGATTTTGTCTTTAAGTTCCACAAATGTTATTGCAAAAAAAATGACTCAGGCCCCACCTCTGCCCCGGGGAGGGGAGCGGACTGGCTGATTGGTCCTAAGGGCTGACACCTCGGAGATCCTCATTCTCAGCAGCGCTGGAGGAGACCAAACGACCCGACTCCCCAGGAGATGTTCAGGCACCAGGAGAGCGCGTGGAGGGCACAGACCCCAGACCACTCTCCCCTCTTCGTGCCCCTCAGCAAGTCACCCACTGCCAGGTCGGGGCCGCGCTGTGTAGAGTGGTCATGGACACATCACACAATATGCACACACAGCACACAGTACACACCATACACACCACACACACCACACCACACACACCACATACCACACATCATACACCCCAGACAGCACGCCAGTACATATACACACACTATACACACCACACACACACAAATACATCACACACCACACATACACCAAACACATCACACACCACACACACATATACACACCACACACCTGCATACACACACACTACACACCACATACACTGTACTCCACACACCACACATCATACACCCCAGACAGTACACCAGTACACATATACACACCACACACACACAAATACACACATCACACACACCACACATACACATCACACACACACCACACACACACACACACACACACCTGGCCCCTCCAATCTGGACACTCTGGTGACAGGAGCCACAGCAGTGGATCGATGCCGGGCCCTGCACACTGGCCTCCCAGGCCCTGTACTCGGCGTCCTGGAGCTTCTCCCACTCAGCACCCACATGATCCCCTGGGGTGCCTGTGGCCCCCAACACACCCTGGGGGTGCCCAGAGCCGGCTTCCCCCAGCTGGTAGACAGCACTGCTGGGGCCTTCCCAGGGCACAGGTAGTGGCACTCAAGACCCAGTGCCTGGCAGGGCTGCAGACCTTGCCACCCCTGAGGTCAAGGCCTCCCAGCAGGTCCCTGGGTTGGGGCAAAGTCCCACCTTGAAGGACTTGAGCCCAGAGCCAAGGCAAGGGTTCTGCGTGTCTGTGGCCAGGTGCACTGAGTCCTCACTGCAGGTCTGCACGGGGGCCTCCCACCCTGGCCGCCCTCCACCCTCACAACGCCGACACAGAGGGGTGGCACCTGTTGTCCTGTGTGGCATACAGGTGGGCTGGGGAATGTGCCTGGGGCTCCTCACACCTGGGACAAGGAAGACAGCAGCAGGGCCGAGGCTGGACTGTGAGTTGTCTTCCCTGAGAGAGGCAGACTCCACAAAGAGTGAAACAAAGCCCTTCAGCAAAAGTCTGGGTCTTACGGGCCCTCCAGACAGCATGGGAATGGGAAGGGTCTCCAAGCCCCTGCACGATGCTCCAAAGGGTACAGGGTTCTGGAGTCTCCAAGTCCTTGCACAAACACCCCACGGGGGACAGGGTCCTTGGAGTCTCTGGGTTCCTGCACAAAGGTCCCAGGGAGTATAGGGTCCTGGGGTCTCCAGGTCCTTGCACAAATGCCCCAAATGGTACAGGCTTGTGGGATTTCCAAGGCCCTGTATAAACTTCCCGTGGGGACAGGGTCCTGGTGTCTCTGGGTCCAGTGCACACACCCAGGAGGCACAAAGTCCTGAGAAGCACTGCAGTTCAGCGTCGGACTTCCCAGGGCTTGCTTTACTCCCAGCCCTGCCTCCCCCACCCAGTGTCCCTCAGGTTCCTCAGGCCGGGATCCCCCCTTTTTCCTTTGGTGAGCCCCTCTGAAGGGTTTGGCCCAGGTCTGGAGCCTCACGTCCACACAGAGAGCTGCTACCAGGACCCGTGTTACCTGGCCAACTTCTAATAAATGGCTGCTCTTTGTATTTTCTTTTTACTGTCAATGAAAAATTGTCTTACAGGCAAACACAAAAACAAACCCATTACACAGTGCCACAAAAATCTTCCTCTAAACATCTGAAGCTAAAATTGAGGCCAAGTTTCACAGTACATTAGTGACTAAATTCTGAATAACATCATTTTGTAAAGAAGAAATAATTGGCAAATTATGAGATTATTTTAGTACAGTAACTTGAGAAAGAACAAGAAGAAAAGGAAGCGAGGCTTGGATTCATGAAAAACAAAAGATGCATTTGAGGAGGCAAAAAAAAAAAAAAAAAAAAAGGCAAACTCCTGTGCAAATCTGTGCTCAGCATTTCTCACCTCGAGGTGGGACTGGGTTGATTTTGTGGGGGCAAAAGACACCCTAGAAGTCAAAGGCTTATGTGCCCCATTAGACCTCAGGGGACCAGGGGGTGGAGCAGAGAGGTTAGGTAACTGGTCATCTTTCCCATGGAGGGTGTCAGTTCTGAGCACGAGTGGCCTCGCAGAGGGAATCTCTGGGGGTCCAGGCAGCATCTGCCTCCCCCATTCCTCCGGAGGTTTTCCAGGCTTCCACACAGGTGATCCACCTCCCCCACCGCCCTGGTCCTGGGGAGCAGGCTTCAGCCCTTGGGTCCCTTCTGTTTCCCACCTGCACAGGTGCTGCAGTGGGAAACTAATTCAAACACACCTTTGTGACCTACACGGGTCTAACCTCTCGTGCACAAGGTTAGACCCAAGAAGGCACAGCCCTGGTGGCCGACCGGTTCACTGGGGGTTAGGGGGCCAGCCCGAGAGAAGGAGGGAGCTGCAGGGCTCATCCCAGCCCAGTTCCTGCCGGCTCTCCAGGCCCCTCCCCTTGCCTCTCCCCTTGCCCAGAGACCCTCTGTTGTTCACAGTGGTTTGGGGTGAACTGTCAGTGTAGCCTCTCAGATGCTGCAGTTTCCTAGGACTCAATTCCAAGGGGACCACAGCACTAACACGACTGGGCAGGGTCAAAGAGGACACAGGCCATGCTGGGCACCTCCTTTTCCCGCAGCCAAGCCCTGCCAGCTTTTACCTGCCTACTCCGAACCCTTCCCAGGCCCCCAGTTCTACTCCCAACCCCCCAATCCATGGGACATGGGCTCTGCCCGACCCTGGTTTTCTCTCCAGTGCTGGAATCGAACCAAACTCCTCTCTCTGGCAAGGCCCCATCCCCCCCTACCTTCTGCCTGCAGTCCTGCTCCCTTCAGCACTGGTGGCAGGTTCGGGCACTCTGAAGTTTCCCATCTGGCTTCTTGTTACCCAGTTCTCAGCCAATGGATCACCTCCTGGGGGTGGCCTTCCTGCCACTATTAAGCCCCCTCCTGAAATTCTCTGATGGGCCCTGGAACTCCAGGGACATTGCTGGACATTTCTTCATTTGCTCACAGGCTCCGTTCCTGTGGGCAGGCCCTGTCGGGTGGCACCGACCTGGCTGCAGCTCAGCCCAGCACGCCTTCCTTGTCCTTCCTGATTTCCACCTGAGGGGCTCCCAGCTTCTTAAAAAAACACAGCAAGTGGGAAGAGAAACGTTGCAGTGACAAACTACACCCCCCTAAATGTAACTCTGTCTTTAAGAAAAGTCAACACAATAATTCTCTTTGTTTCAGAACAGGTGCCGAGAGGGAAACCACACAGCTTTTCCTCCTTGGGAAACAGTAACAACCACTGCAGAGTGATCACTGCCCGGCCACGCACAGCCTGGAGGAGCTCGTGTCCTGTTAGGGTGTCTGCTTTGCCTCTGATTATCTGGCAAATAAACCAATTTAGGAGCCCACCAGGGTCTTTCTGGCCACCTCTCCAGGGCCCTGGCTGGGCCAGTCCTGTCTTCATTGCCATACAGCCAGCATCCTCATTGAGACGGAGAAATGTCATTATTTACCAAGAAAGCAAGGTCTGAAAATGGCAATTACTCGGCGGGTCAGCAGAAAGCCCCAGGATACTTCTCTCCACAGGATTCAGCCGGCAGCTCGGAGCTGCAAGACGCAGCCAGTGCCTACCCGTCAGGTTCCCACCCCCCATGTACTCACATCCCATTGGTTTACAAAAACGAGTACGTATGCCCCCCACACAAATACATATTCATGTCTCAAAATGTAAGTCTGTTGCATACTTGTAAAACACACATTGGAAAGTGGCATGTAAAACGCAGATATAAACATGGCACGATTTTCCTGCCTGCCCTGTGGGCCCTGGGGACTGGATTCCACACCCCCAGGCTGGAAGGAGACAAGCTCCCTGCACCGCTGACCCTAGGACTGACCATGGGACTCACTTGGCCAATGGGATTTTGTGGGTCTGACCCAGGCAGGAGCCCTCAGTAAGCTCCGGAGGTTGAGTCTGGTGTCCTGTGATTTACCACGGCAAGACGGTGCCGGGAAGTAGCCAGTCAAGAATGCACGGAGACGCGGGGAAGAGACCTGAGCCCACCGCGGCCCAGAGCAGCGAGCATGGCAGACCCGTGGGCAGGCACACCCATGCTCCCTGCTGTGGACCACAGAGGCTGGGCTGCTTGTCAGGCAGCACCTGTGCAGGGAGAGCTGACTGGCTCTGATTCCCGGTCCTCCCTCTGCCCTCCAAAGTTCCACATGGATGATACTGTATCCCAAAGGGCTCAAGGGAGGGAAAGCTCGCCAGCCAATACCCAGCTACCTCAAATCAGCCACAGCCAGAAAACTGGCCTGGAGATGGGGTACCCCACGGCCTGGCTCACAACCAGCCTGAGGGCAGGGCTCAGGGGTGGGGGGGCGGCCCTCAGCCCCTTGCCCAGAACTGTCCTCCTCCTCCACCAGCTTGGTCCCAGCTCCCATCCCCGCCCCTAAGCCAGGAGCTGGCGGCAACTTTCGGTAAAGGGCCAGGTAGTCCATATTTTCGGCTTAGCAGCCCTGGGGCATCTGGGTGGTTTCACATATTTTTCTTTTTTGTTATAACCCTTTAAGATGATTAAAGCCTAGCTTAGCTTCCTGGCAATATAAAAGCAGGCCACTCGGCCTAGAACCTGGAGCATCCACTCCTGTATCCACCTTCAGGAAGGGGCATGGAGCTGACCACGAGCTGGTGACAGAGAGGTCCGTGCACTGCGTGGATCCACGGCACCCCCATGCCAAATGGCCCACGGGGGCATGGAGGGCATGCCCCTGCCACCCCCTCGCCCTGGCCCTGCACCCTCAGCCAGAGGGTCCTCAGGAAACCAGGTGTATGGGGTCTGCTCAAGGCCTCTCCTGCTATCTTCACTCTGGCAGGAGTCTGGCTTAGTCTGGGGACACTGTGGGGCCTTCTAGGCTTCTGGGCGCTCTGACAGGGGAGCAGAAAGGGGCTTCCAGGGCCCCAGGGAGGGCTGCAGGACCCTGACTGCAGTGCCTGCTGGGCTGGACGTCCTCCTGAAACAAGGAGGCGGCCATGGCATTTGGTTTGACACCCTTGCTGCCAGCTTCTGGGTCCTCCCAGGAGCCTCGTCCAACTGTGGGACCTGCAGGCTGGGGTTCAGAGGCCAGGCTGGCCAGGACCCGGA